TCATTTTTTTTTTCTAGCTAATGCTATGAGGCCTAGAAGGATTGCAGGTCACGTCCTTTCTGAATAGTAGTAAGGCTGCACTGATTCTCAGTATATGCCACGTAGCCACTGAGTCATGAATTGATGTGGATGGATAGACAATAAAAGAAAACATCTATCATTTTTACTTTTCTGATCTTATTGTTTTACCATTTTTGACCTTATCCTTTCTATGTTAATCAAGGTTTCTCAGTTAACATGAAAACCGTAAGTTTTTCTGGGCTATACCAACAGTAAAAGGGCATTAAATAACAGTTTGTGATTATAACCCACAGTTATACTGAGTTATACTGAGTTGTGTTGTAGTTCTGAATAGGGTGGGGTTGTTTATTTAGTGATATGATTAAAAAGGAAATTTGAGGATTGGAAGTTAGGAGTTGTATGTTAGCTAAAATTTGCTACTTTCAGTAAAAGAATTATAGTTTTTTTCTATTTCTTTAATAACAGTAACAACAGAAAAACCCACAGTTATCCAGGGAATATACAGATACAGATCTTTTGTGACAGCTGTTTAAAAGTACTTTTGACTAATTACTATTAAAAGCTTATTAAAATATTTCTTTCTTTAAAGCAAGCTATGTTCTTTCATCTTTTTTCTTTTTCAGTAATGTGTCATCTATTAAGATGTTTTGATGTGGAAAATTAGTGCTTCAGGTTTGAAGAGAATGACAAGAATAATGTTTCAGTTATAATTTCAGAATTAGTAACACCAATTCACCCTTCCTAGTGGAAAAGAAACTTGGTCGCCTCATGAACTTTCCATGCTAGAAGTGAAGTTTTATCTCCACTCAAACAATCAGTCACACTGATGCTTTCTAAAACTTGATTTTTAGATATATAAGAAGCTAAATTCTAGTTTCTGTTTGCTGATATACTTCAATTTTTTCTTCCTTTTCTCTCTGAGTGCCATGTTCTTCTTTTAATCTAGCCCAGCTTCCTGCTACTGTGAAGGAGGTTTTCTTGGGTGCAGTGTGTTACTGGAAGAATGAGTTAGCCCAACACGTCTAAGCTGATTGTCTGACTGCATAAGCTAATGTAGGTACTGGGGTTCCAGAACTCAAGACTATGGAGCACTGTATAGGCTTATTTAAGGAGAAATATATGGAGGTAAATCTTTTCATGCTATTGTGAGAAGTCTTTCTTAACAGACTAGTATTTCCACAGCACATAAGATAATATAAATGACATTGGACAACTCTTCACTGAATAACCATGTATGTAGGCATATCTTTCAAGAGCCTCCTATAGGTCAGAAACTAGATATGTTAACACAGTAATAGAATGTTGTTTTTGTTTTTTTTTCACTCTAGTTGCTGCTGTTTATAATTTTACTCAGTATTAGTTACAAAATAAGTCTTTTCTTTGTCTGGACTAATGTCTCAATTTCTCCCATCAGCTTTTGACACCTATGTGCAGATTGTTTCACATTCTCACAGCAGTTCTGTTTTCCTTCTCTCCCTTTGACTCTAGATTTTCTCTGGGTATAGAAAGGACTTGTGAGTATGATTTTCCTTTGCTTACTTTCCAAATTTAACGTACTTCAGGAGATTTTTACTGCAATCTGATCTCCAGTTGGGAATGGTTGGGGTACACTCTTTGTAGATGTAGTGGTAATTTCAAGACTGCTCATAGTTAGGCTTGAAGATTGAAAAATTCGATTTGAACAAAAGTCAAGAAAAGCTAAGAAAAATTTGACATTGTTCAATAATATTTATTTAGCAAGGCTGAATGTAATTCCTCAGATGGGTGGTACTATAAGAGAAAAGGATGTTTTCTCTCTGTTGTGTTACAGAGGGGTGAAATATGTTCTGAATGAATAAGTGACCTCTCAATTTAAATCCTACTTTTCATTGTCACTAATAGTTTTTTTTTAGTATTTTCTGGCAATTTCCATGAAATATTTTCTCTCTATATGCTTTCCATCTTAATATACCACACAGTATCTTCCCACAACTGCAGCTTTTTGATAGTCCATCACAATGCAGTTCTTTTGAAAGGATTTTTGATTTGTCTGTAATACTACAACATTTCTATTCATGTCAGATACATGGCTCAAATAAAGACAGCTCTGAAAGATCCCTCTGATTTTTATCTTGCTGGAAATTTGCATGAGAACAGTTATTCTTCCTTTCCCATAGTAAAAATTCAAAGGATGTCTATTTAAAGTGAGCTACGAAGAGTCCAAGGCATAAAGAAATTAACAAGCTGGTGTTTACCTGCTTTTTTTGGCTCTGTGATCATCTGATCTTAAGTGGAAGTGTTCATCTTTCTCACCTTTCTCTATCTGTTGCTCAAAGAATATTGTCTCTGGAACCTTTGTGAGAGGTAATACTGGATGTTTGTTTTATCCTTTGTTTATGTAGCTGTAGACACAACAGGCAAAGGGCAAACTCACGCTATAATAAATGTGTAGAATTTTGTAGTCTTTAATCTGAAGTTAATATGATCTTCAGTTTTACAATGTAATATGTGACCACAAGTGGTTATTATATTTGCAGTATCTATCTTTTTCATCTGTGTAGCCAATATTAATGGGCTTGAGATCATAATCCATGGGTGATTATTCATTTTGGCAACACCTTTGATTGAGACCTATAATGTTTCTCAAAAAATGTCAGAAATATTAGGATTTGCTAATGGTCTCCTATAGATGATGGTAGCCTTTCAAAATAAAAATTTTTTTTTTTTTGTTTCTCACTAAATTTGTCAAAGAAGGTATATTTTAAAAAAGGTGTAATAGTACTACTTATAGGATTTGAACATTGATGCTAGAGCAGTTTTCACACTGGAACAGGCTAGTGATAAAAACAATTTCTTTGTCTGACAACTGTAAGGATCTGGAGTTCTGTAGGAAAGTCCACAAAGGCATACAATAACTGTGTATACAAGCATGGCTGTGCTTAAAAAAGGTTAGTCTGGTTGGCAAGATCTACTAGGTTGTGCACTAAGAGCAACAGTGCTTTCCTGAGACTGTGAGTTACCCTTGACTCTCAGCCCTGCCAAATTCAACATGGTCCAGGCTGAGAGCTGGATTGATAACCATTGCATGCGTTTGTTTGCTTCCCTTGATTGAGGTGCATATTTTTGTTTATTTCAGTCACTCAAGAAGGAAACTATCAGGGATGTGTGATAGTTGGGTAAACCCAGCCTTTTTTTTCCTGGGAAATCACATTATGGGGCTTGGCTATTTTTCTGACTCTATAATTTGGTGGATATTTTCAGTTAGTTTTGACAAAATTTTGTTGAAAGAGGGATGGGGCAGTCTTTTCCTTTCAATGCTGTGTTTCTTTTTTTTTTTTTTTTCCCTTAACAAAACTTACATTGTGCTCTAAATTTTAGTTTAAAAAGTAGCTTCTCAGCTTGGTTTAACAATCCAAAGACAATCCATACTACAGAATACTTACTTCCCCCTGTTGTTCTGCTATTAGAAATGCATCTCATAGTTCTTAGTTTCTACTCTGGGTAGAGCTGCTATTGGAGTCAAGGGCTTTCTAGCTCCAAATATTCCTCTATTCCTTCTTCTCTTCCTGTATGGACTTTGCTTTTTGGTGATTTATTCAGTCTACAGTTTGTCTTTAGTCAGGGTGTTTACCCATGTACAGTAATTTCAGAACTAGAGAAAGTCTCAGTGTCCTTGTAGGATTTGGGATCCCAGTCCACGATCAGAAGATGCACAGTTTGAGTGGAAATACTCCAAGAATGAGCATACACACAACTTACATTGTGTAAGCATCATACAAGATGTTTTTTTGGCCAACTTTTCTTTGTCTGCCTTTAATGACATCAAAATCTCACAAATATTCCATAAAACAGTGATCTTGCTTAGGTTTTATTAAAATACTAGTCTACCTCAGTCATCAAACAGATTTATTATGAAATTTTTGGATTTTGAATAGGAAGAGCTGCAAGACATCACCTTCTTCCTCTGCCTGCGCTGACACCAGACTGGCTGTACCTAAGCTGACTCTGGGACCTATTTTTCTACCTTTGGTTAAAAGGCTGCAGTGATGCAGGTTCCACGGCCTTACTTTCCAGCCTGATTTACCACTTGGTTAGTTTTGTAGTTAAAGACTCTTTCATACTATCTGTTATACTTTTTTATAGTAAACATTTTTCTATTTATCATCACAGGGAACTCTCTCTGTCTTTCCCTCTCTCTCCAGACAAACCAGTTTATTTATCTTTCCTATCAGGATGTATCCCCATATTTCTGAATCGTGTTATTTCCACTGTGTTCTCTCCAATCCATCTCCATGTCTCTTACTGTTCGGTTTTCCAGACCTGTACTCAGAGTTGAGTCCATCTGAGGTTTCACAAGGAACAACCAGAGAAAATTCATGTATTTCAAATGGCACATATGTAAGCCTTTCAGTATTAGAAGTACTGATGCCTTGCTAGTTATTTCCAAATTTTTATTTTCACATTTGGCTACTTTTTAGTGGATTTAAACACTTAGCTTTTTTACTATATTTTTACTTACCAGGATTTAAGGGGTGGGGGCTGAAGTGCAATATTGGATAGAGGGGAGCAATATGGGAATGGCAACACTTTTTAACTGGGCTAAGAGAGGGATTGTGGGTTACCTAATAGCTATGCCCAAACACAAGAAGAGAAGATCCACATGCTTCACAGAGGTGGGAGGATGACAGACAGTGGACGTGAGTGTAACTAAGAGAAACTGAGACTAGGTATAAGAGAAAAACAGTTGATCAGTGGAATAGATTGCCCATTGCAGGTTATGACTGCAGGTTATGCTGTCTCCACCCCTGGCTTTAACCAGTCAGATCTTGAAAACCTTTCTGAGCAGCCTGGTCTGATTCTTTGAGCAGAATGTTGGGCTAAAGATCTCTTGAGGTCCATTCCAACATGAATGTTCCTATTATTGTTTCTTTGGTTCTTCTGGTACTTTTCAGAAGGATATTGTACTAAATGCTTTAAACATAATCCTGTTTCATTTTCAGTCATTACTGAAGATACTGCCAAACACTGGACTCACAGAAGTTCTCTTGGAAGTTCCATTTCAAACTTTGGAAAATTCCTAATAAATTATTGAGTATGTTTTAAAATCAGGTATTCATACACTGACATTTCTTTTGGATTGTATTTTGCTGATGTGACAACATAATGTGGGAGCATCAAAAAAATTTAAGTAGAATACGAATGTCATATATTTTCTACTTATCATTTATGCTAATCATTCTTACAAATATACCATATGAAACTGCTCTGAGTTATGCTTGTTTTATCATTGGTTTTTATTAGCCAATTATCTTCTTAGTACTTGCAACCAATGATTTAGTTGTTACTTGATGGAGTTCTAAGTGGAGGTAATTTGAGTAACATAGGAATGTTATTTTCAGGCAGGCACTACTCGTTTGCTTCTTGGAGACATCTTTGTCTTCTGAATTATTAGAAATGTCTTTAGATCATTCCTGAGATGCTGTAAGATGTACTTCATTATGTCTAGTTGTGTTAAAAATGTCTGCCTTCCCTTCATTCTTTTAAGATATTCTTTCCTTATTCTAGACCATGCTTTGCTTCTCTTTGATGTCAGTTGTGTGATTCTAAAAAAAGGATGGAAAGGTCAGTATTTCAGTCTTATCTATGTCCTGTAGTATTTGCTCTCTTTCCACAACAAACCGTGCATCTAAATTTTCTATTTTTTTCCTTATATTCAGTAAATAAGATTGAAGTGATAGAATTGTTTTTGATGGCATCACTGAACTTTTTCTTTGAAGCTTTTTATGTTCCTTGCTAGTTGTAACTCATTTTGTGTTTTACTTTTTGGCATCTTATCCTTACAGACTGTTTCACCCTAAATCATTCTAAGTCATGTGTCTGTGTGATTCCTCTCTGATTTTTAGGTTTATTAAAGAGTTATGTGAAAGTTGCAGAGCAAACTGGAAGGGATTTGGGAACAATGCACAAGATAAAGATTTACAATTACTAGTGTGCATCATTTTCTCTGCACTGTACAACAGCTAGGATAAACCCCACCTGTCTTCCAAGGTTACTAGAAATATCAAGATGATTTGAGTGTGGTGGCATATATAAAGACAGTTGAGTCATAATGCCTAGATTGTTGTGAACTTTTTTTCACCCAGGGGTATGTATGACTGTTCTGGAATCAAAGCTGGCCTTAGGAAATCCTGAGGGGCCTTATGCTGATCATACTTGACTGTCTTTTGCAGATCTTAGAATTAATCCAATTGGAATTAAATTAAATTGCAATTACCATTTGATTTAATTGCATTTAAATTATATGTAGGTTAAGTAGCAAAAATGAGGTAATGTCATTCTCAACAGACCTTGGGGAAAAAAGTTGGAAATGACCCTTCCCACTGTGAATGATACAAGCTGCCTCATTATTACAGTCTGCTCCATAGACTTCTGGGAGATTACTGACTTCTTGGAAAGAAGAAATTTTGAGTGTGAAGAACCTATTTTGGATTGGGAATGGAGTATCAAATTGTGTAAGTTAAGTGAATGGACCTTAGTATATTCGCAGTGAGTCTGTACTAATTGCCATAAAACATAAGCTGTATCTTACCAACATGTAATAGTAGTGATTCGCACCACTGTTAAACTATGAGTTAAAGCTATTAAGGCTTTATTAAAGAAAATTGCAAATAGTGAAGAAAATATACAGCAAGCTATTCATTCTGTGAGTGAAAAGAGATAGTACTGACAGTTTGTTTCATCTGTAGTTTAGCAGAGTGGTCATTACTGTTTCCCAGGTGTGCCAGGGCTGCAAAGAACATTAGGAGGAGCTACAGCAAAGAAAGTATGAAAGGTCAAAGCTTGCTGCTGCTGCTTCTACTAGACTTGCATAAATAAACATAGATGTTACTTGAAAGAAAATAAAACAAAAAGGCAATCAGAAATGCAAAACTGAAAAATTTCAAGATTACATTTCTAATTACTAGGAAAGAAAAAGCTCTTTCTATAGCCTGAGACTGTAAAATTATTTTTTTCTCTTCATGTGGCTAATATAAAAATTTAAACCATGTAATAGAACAATGATTATGTAAGTAGGGCATGGTATTTGGATAGCTCCTCAATAGAGGAATTGTAGTGTGATTGCATATTTATATGTGAGATGACGTTGAGAAAGTGCTTAACAAGAGGGGACATTCAGTGGAGGAAGAAACAAATTGTCAGTGTTACAGTGGGTTGCTTGTCATCCTCATTTATGCTTGAGCACTGAGTTCTATCTCTGCCATGCTTTAGATGTAATGGCAGTTTTGCCAGTTTTTATGCACGAGCAGCTTGGTGAAAAGGATCCACACCCAATGGGAAGCTTCTCTGTCTTGAGCTCAGTGTCACTGCTGCCTTGTTCCATTGAGATTGCTGCTGGAGTTCCAGATGCAGGTCTGGTTATTGTTGTGTTCCTGCACTTCATTATTTTGAGGTGGTGCTGGTGCATGCAAGCTTGGTTCGCAATCTGGCTGTGTGCAGCTGGATACTGGTATTGTATTTGGCAGCACTGTGTAAACCTCATCCACTTGGTGAAGTCATCTAAAATAATTATACTTTTAAATCTACAGAGCTGTTGCCAAACCATGTACTCGTGAAATACAGATGCTGTAAATTTTCCATTCAGTTTTGCAGCTAATCTGCGATGCACAGAAGGGGAGCGAGTTGCATTATGAAACTTCCCCCTTGTCTTTTATAACACAGGAAAGCTTTAATTAGACATAAATGAGTTTGATCAATGAATCATTAACTTCCATTAAACTTTAAGTACATTGCCTGACCTGGCTACTTCATTCTGAATTTAATCTAGTACTTGATAATTAGAGTTAAAGGGACAAGGGCTGGAGGCAATCCTCAATCCTTCACGCAAAATGGAGTTGAGTCAGCTAATAAGTTAATTTTATAGTCAGTGTGTAAGGACAGAATTGATTGTAAAGCATAATTTTCCTAGAAAAGCAGATCAGGAAGCAGATTGTCGCTTTATTTTGTTTTCAGACTTACCTCAAGAATTACCTGTTCAAAGTCTTTCAGAGTCTTCACAGATCCTATCCTTATCACAGCAGCTGGAGGATTAAATTGCATGAATGTGCAGTCCAGAAGCCTGTCTTCAGGGCACAAGAGCCTCTTATAGCTTTGTGAAAGGAGTGGTAGCTCTCCTTGTGGTTAAGCAAATTATTATGACCTGTCTAGATCCACAGGAGCTGCATGGAGTGAAGGGATGTGACCTTCTTGTAGTTTTCGAACTTAGGAAAGATAGAGTCACTCTGCCAGCTTTGCCAGCACCCGGATCCAGAAGATCAATTTGTGTTCATTGTGTGTATTTGCTGTTTATATTTTTTACATTTATAAATTGCAGACTTGGACACTTAGGTATCTCTACATGATGGTGCTGTGCAATAGAGACGTTCTTCGGGAGATCTCTATCATGCTAATCTTATATGAGGAACATTTGAATAATCAAAAGAATAGGCAATAGTCTGTCATTTAAAAGGAATAGATGAAATTCACAGAATCACAGAGTGGCCAGTGTTGCAAAGGACTTCAAGAATTGTGAATCTCCAAACCCCCACCACATGCAGTGCCACCAACCTCCCCATTTAATACTAGATTAGGCTGTCCAGAGCCCCATCCAATCTGGCCTTGAACACCTCTAAGGATGGGGCATCCACAACCTCTCTGGGCAGCCTATTCCAGCACCTCACCATACTCATAGTAAAGAACTTCTCCCTGATATCCAACCTAAATCTTCCCTCCATCAACTTAAAACCATTTCCCCTTGTTATCAACCCTTTCAAAGAGTTGATTTCCCTCCTGTTCGTAGGCTCCCTTTAGGTCCTGAAAGGCTGCAACGAGGTCACCCCATAGCCTTCTTTTCTCCAGGCTGAACAAGCCCAGCTTCTCAGCCTATCTTCCTAGGGGAGGTACTCCAATCCCCTGACCATCTTCATGGCTCTCCTCTGGACCCTCTCCAACAACTCTCTTATCTTTCTTGTACTCGGGGCTCCAGGCCTGGACACAGTACTCCAGATGGGGCCTCACAGGAGTAGAGTAGAGGAGGACAATCACCTCCCTGACTCTGCTGGCCAACCCTCTTCTGATGGAGCCCAGGATACCATTTGCTTTCTGAGATGCAAGAGGACACTGCTGGCTCGCGTTAAGCTTTTCATCCATCAAGACCCCCAGGTCCTCCTCTGCAGGGCTGCTCTCAAGGACTGCTCGTTCTCATCTGTATGGATACCTGGGATTCCTCTGGCCCAAGAGCAAAACTCTGCATTTTGCTGTGTTGAACCTCATTTGGTTCACCCAGGCCCACCTTTCAAGCTTGTCGAGGTCCCTCTGAATGGCATTCCTTCCGTCCACTGTGTCAGCCGTACCACTCAGCTTGGTGGCATCAGCAAACTTGCTGAGGGTGCACTCCATTCTGTCATCAATATCATTGATAAAGATGTTAAAGAGCACTGGTCTCAAGACAGACCCCTGGAGGACTCTGCTCGTTACCAGCCTCCACCTGAATATAGAACCATTAATCACCACCCTCTGTCTGTGGCCTTTCAACAGATTTCTTATCCATTGAGCAGTCCACCCATCAAATCCACATCCCTCCAATTCAGTTCTTGTCTTGCTTTTACACAAGTGAGTTCTCTTATGTCTCTTATCTGAACTATAGTGTTCTCCTTTTCCTGGGCTCAGAGCAGTGCGTGCTGAAGGATGCTGGATGACCCAAATGTGGACTCCTTTTATCTTGTTTAGTGTTTGCTTTGTGCAACCTGAAGTATGTATCTGAATGTACTTCAGAAAATATTATATTGTCTGTTGTAGAGTGCTGTTGAAACAGATAAAGCACTGTAATATCTAAATCTCCAGTCTTTCTGTTGGGTTATTATCCTGTTGCTGGTGTCTATGACTGCTCACAAAATGCTGCTTTGATGGAACGGAAATTTCACCAGAGATATGCTCAAATGCATTTGAGAAAAAGGTGCATGGAAGCTCAGGGTTCTTAAGATCTGACTAGTGTGATAAAGAGGAGAGTGGACACATTGTCTCCCCCTCAAACCTTTGTTGGTGTGCAGGCTGCCCTGAAAATAATGTTTCTTATTTATTTTGATGGAAACAACAGAAAGAAAGAGCACAACAACACTACTTGATAGAGCAAATTCTCATCTACAAATCACTAATTTTCAACATAGTCACCACCATTAGCTGTTCATTTTTGCCAGCAATTAACAAGAGCTGCATACCGTGCTCATCAAAATCTGCACATGACCTGCTATTTCACAGCTGTCAAGTTGCTAAGAAAATGTTATCCATCTGTACTCAGACCCATCTTTCATTGGCCAAAACAGATGGGAGTCAGAAGGCACTAAATCGAGATTATATGGCGAGTGTGGTAGGACCATCTAGCAAAGATTGGTAATGTGCTCCAAGGTCTTCAAACTGGCACAGGGCCTGGTATTATCATGTTGCAAAAGAAAAGTTGTCTTCTTCTCTAGTTTGACTCAGGAAGTGAAAGCCTTGAGCTTAGTCAACATTGAGATGTAGTGATTTGGTTGGTGATTTGTCCAGGTTCAAGAAATCCAGAAAGACCTCTCCTTTCCTATCCCAAAAGACAGTGCATCTCACTTTTTTCACTGAGGGCTGCATCTTGAACTTTTTTTTCAGTGGGGAACAAATTGTCATTTTCATTCCAACTTCCAGTGGTGATATCACGTCACTAGTAAAGATGCAACCTAGGAAACTGTCACTGTTAGTGAATCCTGCTGAACTTGCATGCAGTGTTTTTTCTGTTCCTGTGTGAGCATTTATGGGACACACCTGGCACAAACTCTGAAATATTTCAACATTGCCATTATGATTACCAAAGCACTGAAGTTGATATTTATCTTCAGACACAGTTCTCTGGTCATAATCTGATAATTTCATCAGAGGAGTTCATTGAGTCACTCTTTATTTTGTGGCTTAATTTTGCTTCATCTGCGCTTCCACATCAGGTGCCCCTCTGCTGCATTCTGTCACGTGGCAACAAAATGTAATGGAACATTTTTGGGAAGGTTCATCCTTTACTGCCATGCCACTGACAACTGATTTGATATCTTGGGCCAACACAATGAAAAAGGAAGAAGTTACTTTCAGATCAGGTCTTATATTTATATTACAACCGTGGATAACAGAGGTCAGAAAAGAGTAAACATTGTTTTGAGTGTATCCACAAGAAGGTCCTTTTTTTCTTCTTTTTTTCCTTTTTTTTCTTCTTTTTTTTTTGCAGGCACAAGAAACTAAAAGGGATGTTGCAGAAGTTCTAAGTGTTGGACAGACACTTCAAATGATGATCAAGTTTTGTAAAGGGCTCTAAACATTCTGACCCATGCCTTTCACATTTCTTCAGTCTCTGCATTGAGATACTGTCTCCAAATCCCTTGAGAGTGCTGCAGCTTGGGGTCACTGAAGCTCTGCTCTAGGCCTATAATGAGCTATAAAATGACAGGCATTTTTGGGGCTGAGTTTATGTGCTGTGTGTTCACTGCTGCCCTGGAGATATCAGCTGAGTAAAGATGAAAGTGGATGCTGATTAGGTACCCATTTAAGAAAACCTGTCCATTCTGTGCAGTCACATAATGCTACACAGAGGGGAGCTGAATTAAGGTCATACAGGCAACCTTAATACTGCCATTTTGAGACTTTTGAATGCTGGATTATGTGACCTTAATAGTACTATTTCAGAAGTATTTTATTTGGATGTGATTTTATATATTTAGGTCAGACAAAATTGCTAGCAATGTTCTCTG